TGCCTTGATCTTATTTTTATCCGAGAGGAGGAAAATGTGTTAGACCTGCAGGACCGACAGCCATTAGGGTCAAGCGAGCACATCACGCTCTACTTCGAGTACTCACTGTTTTCCAAACCCGTCCAACCCGAGAGGTGGGAGAGAAACATTTGGAAAGGGGACTATTCTCTCATGAGGAGGTAAGCGGCAGCTATATCATGGGAGACTGAACTGCATAGTTGAGCAAACGACAACTCGAATACGTTCAGTTCTAATTGTCCTCTGAGAAGAAAGACAATCACACACCGCCCAAAATGGATAAACCCGGACTTGAATGCCTCTTTCACAAAAAGAAATCGTCTGTGGAGGCGTTACAGACTAATTGGCTCCGAAGAACACTTACAGGAATATCAGCGGCAACGAAACGTCTGTAAAAGTGAGGCCTCAAAGCTGCGAAAGAAGTTTGAACTGAACATACTCCGAAATTCGTTGGAGCATCCAAAAATTCTATATGGTTATATACGAAGTACTAAAAGGACTCAGGAGCTGATTCCTGTCCTTAGATCTGCAGATGGAAAAGTGGAGATTGATGACCAGGTTAAAGCGTCCCTCCTTTCCGACTTCTTTCAGTCCGTCTTCACCCGAGAACCTAGTTCTATATTTGCCCATCCATCCATTCGCCAACCAACCTCTCCTTCCAGTACCCTTCCCCCTCCTATCCCCTCCCTACCCTCCTTAACCGAGGAACCACTTTTTTTCATCTACCATAGTTAAGGCCGAGCTACTCCGGCTGAAACCTGCCAAACCGCCTGGCCCAGATAGAATTCCCGCCCTAGCACTTCGTGAACTTGCTAATGAACTGTGCAAACCCTTATCCGCAATATTTCAAAAGTCATTTGAAGACGGCGAGCTCCTGGAAGAGTGGAAGTGTGCACTCATTACTCCGATCCATAAAGAGGCTCAAGACTTGACTGCGGAAATTATCGTCCCGTCAGTCTTACTTGCATCGCGAGTAAAATAATGGAAGGCATTATCAAAAGACACTTGATGGAATACCTGGAACAGAACAAAATATTGTGTGATGCCCAACATGGCTTTCGTCCAGGGCGCTCCTGCCTAACGAGTGTTCTTTACTCGCACGAGAAATGGGCACGAGCTACCGATAAGGGTTTTCCAGTAGATGTCATATTTTTTGACTTCAAGAAGACCTTTGACATTGTCCCACACAGGCTTCTTTTACAGAAGATCTGGGATGTAGGAATTCAAGGAAGAATGTTTAAGTGGATCAGGAGTTTTATGTCCTCCAGACTACAAAGAGTCGTCGTTGGTAGTTCTACCTCGGAATGGGCAAAGGTAGAAATTGGTGTTCCACAGGGTTCTGTCTTAGGCCCAGTACTCTTCCTAATTTATGTTAATGACTGCATCAGCGAAGTGAATTGCGAGGCTCTCATGTTCGCAGACGACATAAAAATATGGAGTGAAGTCCAGTGTGATGATGACGTAGAGAAGTTGCAGTCGAACATCAACAAACTGTGTGTTTGGTCGAACAGATGGCTTTTGAAGTTTAACGTGTCCAAATGCGTGTTTTTGCACCTGAACAACGGCCGCAATGCCTCTGCAAAAAACCAGTACTATATTGACGGGACGAGGTTAGAAACTGTAGAAAGACACAGAGATCTGGGTGTATGGACGACCACAAATCTATCGCCATCAGCACACTGTAGAAAGATGGTCCAGAAGGCAACTAGTATTCTACACTGGATCAGACGTGCATTTAAAATATTTCCTCCCGAACTTTTCGAATGACTCTTTGGTGTCTTTGTCAGACCTCATCTGGAGTATGGAATGCCAGCAGCTTCACCATGGATGAGGAAGGATATCAACTTACTCGAACAGGTGTAACGGAGAGCGACAAAGATGGTCGACGGTCTAAAGCATTTGTCTTATCAGGAGAGGCTGAATTTGCTTGGCCTATTCCTTCTCTCTTATAGACAAATAAACTGCAGTCTACTCTGGACGTTGTTCTCCAGATTGTTCGCGGCCAGGGTTGCTCATTAAGAGCAGAGGACTTCTTTGAGTTCGGCCGTACAAACCAACTACGCGGTCATGCATACAAAGTCGGGAATGAGCGCACGCGTTTGGACCGACGAAAATTTTCATTCAGCCGGCGGGTTGTCAGGCCGTGGAACTCGCTTCCAAGCGAGATGGTGACGGCTGACACAGTTTGTGTGTTTAAAAGAAGACTTGCTCGTCTAGTTTTCGACAGAAATCGGCTTGTACAGCATGACTATGCACAGCCAGTTTTGTAAAATCTGTCATATACAATCTTCCGCGCTAATTTACAGTGACCCTATGCACTACCTTATGATTACAATTGAACTGTGACCCAATCACATATAAATTCCTGCAATTTTATTTTATTTTTGAGTATGAATCTGCGGAAGCACTGTACATAAATAAGGTCATCAAGGGCCCTGCCTGTAACCCTTCAATATCTGTATATACATATACAATACGCGATCTGCAGCGACAGAGAATGGAGGTGGCGAGGCACTGATGAACTTCGGTTCGATGAAGTGCTTACGACCCATCTGGTAGACCCCAGTGGTTGACCAGCTGCGCCAGGTGCGTCTGAGCGCATGTTTGTGTTTCCGGTACCAGCTGGTGGTCAGGGTTATGATTGGCCGAATGAAGGCAAACAAGCCCAAAACAGGGCTGTATCAATCTACCCCCAGACTCTGTCGTCTCCCCCTCTGATATGCAATAATATATACATTATTCAATACAGTGATTTCGGTCGGTGTAACTATGTTACTTCCATCAAATAGTGGCACAATGCTTAGGATTTTACAGTGTGTCATCATTATTGTATTGATTCTTATTTGTATTGATTTTGCGAAATCTGTGCGGTGGCTGCATTTGACGGGTTTGTCAGCTTAGGAAAATGGTCCAGCGAGATCGCTCAAACGAACTGAACTGAAGTGAATTTTCGCTTAAAAGTCTCGGCGGATGTGGACATGACAATATCTGCAGGCAGAGCATCCCAAGCCTCCACCACTCTGCTGGAAAAGAAAAACGTTCTCATGCCCAGCCTGGCGTCAGTCACACGTAGTTCAAGTGGATGACCTCGGAGTTTCCTTGTGGTTGCTGACTCAAAGGAGTCAGCAAGTAAGGGACAGCAGTACTGACCGCGCATTATACGGAAAGTTTGTATCAAGTCGCCTCTAAGCTTTCCGTAACTCAAATGAAAAATGCCGATATTGAATAACCGTGTTTTTAAGGGTAGTTAACCTTGTCCACTAACTACTTTGGTTGTCTGCCCTTGAACTTTCTTAAGGATGTTAAGGTCTTAAGAGGTCCAGATCCCCCACACTTGAAAAGCAAACTCTAATTGTGGCCAATCAAATGTCCGAAAGACCTTTGCGAAGCAGTCCACATCGAAGATAGAGAAAGCTCGCTTGACATGGTAAAGGACTGACATCGAGGACTTGGCTACCTTGGAAAATTGAAACGACGGATTGAGTGAAGCCGTGACCCACAAGCCCAAATCTTTCTGGGCGTCTACCTCCTGCAATGGTCCGCCATTTAGGTGGTTAATCCTGCGGATCGGAGATCGGGTCCTACCGATTCGCAGAATGTTACACTTAGCCACATTAAAACACAGAATCCAGGCCTGCGACAATTTCTAGAGCCGGTTCAGGTTTGCCTGCAAGCGCTCTTCGTAAAATTCAGGTCGAATGACACTCCAAAGCTTACAACCATCAGCGAACATGGCGACATCACAATTCAGCTTACTGACGCAGTCGTTGGCGCATATAAATATAACAGGGTAGGGCCAAGGACGGAGTCCTGAGGAACACCGCTTGCAACCGCTACCTCCGCTGACTGCCTGTCACCGACATGGACGATTTGAGAGCGACCGATCAAGAAGCTTTAGATTCAGCTCAGGAGGTTACCCCTAGTGCTTCTTCGGCTTAATTTGCACAGAAGACACTGATGTGGTACACTATGGAATACTTTCTTAAAGTTGACATAGACTGCGTGCACTGCATTGTTGCTATCAACTAGAATAGAATAGAATAGGTTTATTGTAGCGCCCCTTGGGCACTGTCAGTCCCCTTTGAACTCAGGAAAAAAACCTAAAACAAATTCGTCAATTTCAACTGCACTTTGACTTCATTTGCTTGGGGTTTCTGGTTAGTCAAAAGAGCGCGAATTGAGAGTTTGTTTTAAGTTAAAAAAAAACCTCAGTTCTAAGGGAAAATAATAACAAAATTTTCAAAAAATAACGATATGTACAATATAAAAATTGAAGTTTGCAGTTTGGTAGTTTTCGGGGGCATGAATAATATGTCCTTCATGGCAATTGCAGAACTTTGATATCGGCCTGACCTTGAAATTATTTTCCTGTTGGGTAAATTTCGGTTTGCTCTAGTTGCTGGTTGTCAGTCTATCTGGCCAGCTGTAAGGGGGCGGTCGCACAGTTCCTACGTATTTTTCAGGAGGCTTACCATCGTTGTCTGGACTAAGAGCTGGAAAAGATGAATATATATCAGGAGTAAGAAGCATTCAATGGTAAGTCACAATCAAAACGGTCAAAATACTATTGAATCATGTATCATATTGTTATTGTTAATGGGAAATTATACCCTAATAGCAAAGCGAGCTCGTTGCAAGCTCGTAACGGGGGCGCACATCCGCCTTTCGGTGCTCGTTTCGAGCTCTGGTTTGGCCAGGCAACCAAGCTCGATGCGCCCTCGGTTTTGCGCCCTCGTAACGGGCTCTTAAATTCGCGAGAGCGGGCTCGTTCTGCGTTCTTAACGAGGTCGAAAATACGAGATTGCCGAATAAAAATAAATAGGGGCCTTTATCCTTCAGATATCCGCCGATCCCACCCCCACCCAATAGCAGTACTCCCCCACATCCCTTCAAATATAATATCAATCAGGATTACTTAAAGAAAACTTTATTTATCAAAAATAGTTAAAAATCTGTGTTTAAAATATACAAAAATACAATTGTCATTGATTATCAGTTTGCGTCCTCTCAAGGTCTTCCGGTGGTTGGGCATCTGAAAGGAAGATAACGCAGAACAGTTAGAACATGTAATTGTGGTTTTATTCTGCATTAAAGTTAATTAAGCAGATAAATTAATAATGCAAGTATATATATTACCGTTCTGCAGTCCGCTAATTGATGCTTTATTGCATTTTCGCTGTTGTCTGTCGTGAGCCCGTTTGAAGACGTTTTTAAATGCCTCTTCTAGTTTTTGTCTGTCGGATGAATGGCTTGCACACCATTTACTGAAGACGTCTAGTAGGGAAAATGCATAATGTACATGAATTTAAATTGTTACCGAGTATAAGGTCGTAGATTGGTGAACCAAAAAATGCTCTACTTCCTGGTTTCTTCCCGTAGAATGTCAGAAACTCTGTTACGTCTTCGGTGAATAGGGTGGTGAAAATGCGACCAGCAAATGCCTTGAAAACATTAACGGCTGAGGACCTAATGGGATAATCGAAGTAGTCGTCTATTGCACAATAGTTGGCGTAAACTATTTGCAATTGACCTGATGGGTCCTGTACAATATTTTTGATACAGACTACCTTCCCGTCAATTGCGACAGAACCATCCGAGGGCCCTGTGCCAATGACCAAGTTGCCTTTTTGTATAAGTTTATACTGCATAGCCGATCCATCAGTGGATGGCAGTGGACCTTCGGAATGTTGATGCCTACATGTCCATTCTGTTGGAATGCAGATATCACGTCTTACACTCTGTTGCTCAGCTAATCGACGCACTACTTGCTGCAACGGTTGTGACGGCTTCCGTAGCAACCGTTTGAGACTACCTAGGTAACTTTCGAAAGGAAACGATGAGAAGCTGTCTAATGGACCATGTCGTAAGACATCATCCGGTAGGTGCAGAATGCTGTGAACATTGTACACCATTTCTCCTTTTCCATAAAGGACTGCATACTTCTCTACAAACATTCGCAATATGCGTCTACAGTAAGGTACCCATCGTCTGCAAGAGCGCGGCTGAACTAAGCTCCGCTCCGCCGTAAACAACAATAGAAAGTGTTTCCAATACTTACGACGAAGAATGCCGTTCAGCACAACTATGCCTGTGTACAGCAAAAACTGCCGCAGTTCCGTACCCTTCCACATGTCCATGTCACGTATTGCCCTAGCACGCTGAGAAAATTCCCGCGGCAGGCATGCATTTAAGGAACGCACTCTAGTGTTGATGAGAGAAACTTCTGCTGTTGTCAACCTAAACGCAGTTACTCTTGGGCCGCGAAGCCACAAATTAAGTAGCCTCTTCATTACACCTAAATATACTAAATGCAGAGGATCTAGAGGGAATGAACTTATCATTCCAACGTTACACGCCAACAGAGGTGACACGCCTGTGCGGTGAGGGTTGTCCGGTGTAGATAAAAAGTCCTCATCCACCCTCAATGGCTCTGAAACGCCATCGTATACAACCTTGTCTATATATTCACCTTTAATGTAACATCTCTCGCAGCCGTAGTAGGCATTGACATTCCTAATTTGCTTAATGAACGCCCTAGCTGGAGCATCACAAATCACTGCAGCTAAGCGGACGTTCAGGGTTTTGTCAATCGAATTGACATGCAAGCCATTCTCGGACAATGATGATAACTCATCAACCAATGGTTTGCAGAATGCCTGGACGTCCGGCGGTTTGCCTACACCGCAATAGATTCCTACAGGGAAAACGGTGCCCACTATGGGCTCCATAACCCTACATAGAATAGGCCAAAACTCAAGCTTAGTCTTCCGGTAAATAGGTAGACCATCTATAGCTAGGGATATAACTACATCAGGCAATGGACACTGTGGAATTAGGCAACGTAACTGGTCAGTCAGCTGTCTAATCAGGCCCAAATGAACATACTCACCACTGCCCATGGCCGTAAACGGTGCAGGGTCGCTTGAAGTACCAAGCAGTGTGCGTACGTCCAACGGGAGCTCGGGATGGAAGGGCTTGAGAATCTTCAGCAGAGTATTCACATGGACATGAGCCGTTTTTGACTTAGCAGCCCACCTACTCAATGGCTCAAGCAGCGTTCGCTTTCCTTCCCCTACCTGCTGCGTCAACACACTCGAACAGCCTGGTTCGTTCGTGGATTCGTTGTCAATGTCAACCTCCGAGTCTTCGGAGAAGGTAGACGACTCCGTAGATGTCGTCGAGCTGTCAGACGATGTGGACGACGACGATGTGTCCGACNGGAGGATATGGTGATGCGTATGGCGTAGTGTGAGTGCATGGGCTAGTGTGTATGGACTGAGGGTACATATGGGGAGGTGCGTTAACTAGGTGGTAATTGTACCTAAATGGAGTTTCAGTTGGGGAGGTGTAAAAGCCAAAGTAGTTTGAAGGGTTGTAATTAGGTGGTAAGGAGTTTGCAATGCTAGAGTGATTTGGCTTATTCCTATGCCATGCAGGTGGATTTTGGGGAGTCGACATGCGGTTATAGAAGCTTGTTTGTTTTTGGTTAGAGTTTGGTGGGCTTCTATTTGTTATGTCAACATACCTAGGGCGTTTTGGTTGTGTTGGTGTGCTTAGTAAGGCCTTTTGGTTTATGTGTCTTGTTTGGTAGTCGTTTTCTAGTACTGACTGATCGGTCTTGGGGGATGCAGTAAAACTTATACTGCTATCTAAGGGTGTCACATGACTCGGTCCGGGATCTGCATCATCGTTTTGTTCTGGTTGAACGTTGTTAGTTTGTTGTGCCTTCCTCGTTTGTTTCTGACCAGCAGTTCTAACTGTTTTTGCAGTTGCGCGTTTTTTATCATGAGAACTAGAGTCAGACGTACTTGCTGGAGGTCCTTCTGCAGGGGCTGTGGGCTTATCATTTGGTTTACGCTGGCCTGTGTATTTCTTTTTATTAGTGCTAGAAGTAGAAGTAGTGGCTAAAGGTTCAGTTGAGGGACCGGAGTGCTGATTATCGTATTTGTAGCTGGTGTCTTTTTCCCGTAGTTTACGTCTTTGCATAGGTGTCAAATCTGGACCTATAAACGAGTTTAGGTTCCGCAGATTTCTGTTTACTTCGGGATTTTGTAGGACAATCTCCCCTGCCAGCACCAGCCCCGCCTAGCCCCGCCTGGCCCCCTCAATAATGGCGGGGCTAGAGGGGGCTATGAGGGGGCTAGGCGGGGCTGTGGAGGGGGCTGTGGCGGGGCATGCAACGCGATAGCCCCGCCTAGCCCCGCCAGCGAAAAAAAATGCGCAGGGGACGCCACATCCCAGCCCACTTTTGGCACCACTTTAAAATATCGTCCCGATTGTCAAATATACGAATTAATAACACGCACCGATTGTAAACCGGTGGACAAATAAGAGTTTACACAATGCGGGACTTAAACGAAACCTCAATATATTGTGCTCATCCGCAGCTACATTCAGTGGGCGTAAACGGATGCTTTCTCCATGATTTATAAGCCAATTTTGATAAATGAGCTCCTTTTAATTCCAAAGAAGGTACATTAAGTGGTGCTTTTGGAACATATCTTTCGATGCAAATACGCTTCAAAAGGCTTCAATCCAGAGGGGGCTCTGGCCCCGCCCAGCCCCCTCCAGCCCCGCCTATGAAGGGGCAATGTGCTGGCAGGGTCAGCTTCCGCCTGTGAGTAGAATGTTACTAAGACGGGTTTGTTTTTGCTTCTGGAGTGAAGTCTTTTAGTGTTAGCTACTCTGATATTTAAGCCACACGAATGTATAAAATTTTGAATTGATGGCATCGGATTAACAGTGTGGGGTATATTACGGATAATTAAATTGAGCCTGCGTTTCGATCTGTCCGCGACTTCTGACGAAACTAAGTGTATAATCGATTCAATTTGTGGTAGGCTCGTTAGGTTGTTCGTGAATCTATTTGAGTCTGTTAGTGAATCGAGAATCGTAAAAATATGTTCATGTTTCTCGATGAACTTCTGTAAACGGACGATGGCCGAAAGATCTACTTTGTCGACAGCAAACGTAACTGTCCGGGTCCAGCGTCCTAAACAATAAATTAGGTTTGTCACGCATGATCTGCCTCTACGAAATCCGTGCTGGGTATCGCATGGTAGATTATGCTGTTCTAGGAAGCGCATCATTTCTCGTTTCGTTATTTTTTTCATAAATTTGCAACAAACTGAAATAAGGCTGACTGATCAGCAGCTGTTTGCTAAGGCCTTGATGCCGCCTTCATAAGATGGCGTGATCCGTGCATATTTTCAATTGACAGGCAAAAGACCTGATCAAAACAAAGCTTTGAAGAGCATGGACAGCGGTTTAGATAGCTCTCCAGTGAGCTCCTTCAACAATTTGGGCGGCATGTCATCCGGCCAGGTGATTTAGACTCATTGATCGCCAACAGTTCTTTGCAAACAATAGGTTCGGCGAAAGAGACATCCTAAATCGTTGGCCCGTCCACTATTTCGCAGTCGGAATAGTTAAATGCGTTTTTTTTCGTAAAGATGGACTTAAAAACTGTGAAAGGTGTTCTTCCTTTTTTCCAGCTTCACTGAGCTCTAGGTCTTCACTAGCCTTCAATAATGGGATCGGAGCTTTGACTGGCGTGCTCCTTCTTATATAACCATTGAATGACTTCGGATTTTCTGCGGCCCGATCAAGTAGGTCTTTCTCAAAAGTACGCCGCGTTCTGTGGATTAGTCTCCTAACTAGGTTCCTCTGTGCCTTGTATACATTTATCGACACAGAGCTCCTATCGGAGAGAAATTTCCTCCATAAACCGCGCTTTTATTCACCTCTTTTTTAAAGCCTGTGTTAGTCACGGGGGTCTGCTGTCCAGTTTCTTCTGTGAAACAGGACAGTAGTCTCTGAGAAAAACGTGCAATAACTCCCTGAACCAGTCTAAATCCTTGATTATGTCGCCGGCAAATAGCTGATTCACAGTTTATGGTGGTTATTTCAGCTTCATTTGGGCAAAGTCTCCGCAACAAATGTTCCTTCTAACTCTGATGGCTTGTTTGGACGGATGGAAGATGGAGTACTCCCACAACAATACCAAGTGGTCGCTTCGACCTAGGGGAGGTAAAGGCTGTACCTCATCAGTGCGGGACCATTACACCACCAAACATCATAATGTCACCTGGACGATGTCTTCGTTTCAGTGCAAAGATTTTAACCATTTTCCATTGGGCACACATGTCGGTTGCCGAGGCTTGCAGACCATTCTTTAATCACAATTGACCACGCTGTTATATTTCTTAGTGTTGCAGTGAGTTTCCACGGGCTTTCCACGCATTGCAAACAAGCAAAATCAACACGCGAACAGTCAACCAGGTTCTACCGCTCCCTCTGCTGTGTATTGCCAGCTTTTTGTCTCACTGCACTTCCTGTTGCAATGTGCTATACTTTAGCTGGTTTTCTGTCTAAGCCGTGTAATGATGGCCCTCATGGTAGGCAACGACGCCTGCTTAGGCGGTCTTTTATGTTATCCGACAGTCGTTTTTTGCTGAAATCATCGTGATTGAAGGTACGGGCAAACAGGGATACGCGCATCATTTTGCTGTATCTTCTTTTGTACCGCATTCTGAACCCTTTACCAACCGATTCACAGGGGTCCCAGAAATGCAGTTTTCCGTTTTCATGCAGACAAGGAAAGTCATGCCCGGGTCGTCCACGGCTTGATTCCTGTCGTCCTAAGGCCCTTTGCGCAGCATCAGCATATGGTCATTTCATACGCCATATTCTTGGTAGAGACGATTCTGAGTTTTTTTGAGAGTCAAGTTGTCAGCCGGGCGCTTGTGAGGAAAGTTACAAAGAACAAATACGATGTCCCGTGACTGCAAAGGTCGGGAAGGAAGCCCGAACCAGAACCCTCGCCGGAATGGAAATATACATATGCGAAGTACGCAGTCATATGACTGCGCTTCTGCATTTATGGGCCCCACTTCAACAGGCTTTTGGGCATCAAAGTCTCGAGGATGACAATCGGCCCATTGAAGGTAAAACATTGGACTTCCGCTAGCTGGTGCATGTAATACGCAAGTGTAAGTCTAACGTATGAGGCTGGGGTTAGAAAACTACCGCTTTTTAAATCATTTGGAAAACAGTAGAAATCAGTTGTTGAACCCGATGGCACAGTAAACATAGCTGGAATTTCTGGACTATGTGCCCAGAAAAATGATCAACTGGTCTTCGACAGAAACTTGTAAAAGCTACGTAATTCAAAATAAGCAGGCGCACGCTGAATACATATGTACAAATCCCTGAAAGTCTAAAAAGGCTGGACAGGAGTTAATGAGTCAAATCAGATTTGTGCGGATCTTCAATGTGCCAGTCAATAGTCTGGGCCTTTTCAACGATCTGATAGCACTGAAGGATATCACCTGGCCGCCAATTATCAAAAACCGGCGCTTCTTGATCAGCGGATGACGGTGGAGAGGCGTACAGGTCGCTCAGGTTGTCGCGATGACGGGCAGACTTCGTAAGAATGATACCCAGCTCCACATCTCGACGCACAGAATCCACATCATTGCGACCGTGACGTAAGGAGAAACAAGTGGCCTGATCTACCAGAAGGGTCGAGTTATCGTAGGCATCCCCCGACTCTTCCTTCTTTTCCTCCTCCCCATCTTTCTCCTCAAGTAACGATCCCTGTTCCTTCCGTTTGTCCCGATTTTGAGAAAAGTTCTCCTCTGATGGACGGAGAACGCGAAAGAGAATAGGCCCGGAGGCACCTATGCGAAAAGAATAAAATAAAAAGTTTACAAGACTGCACAAAAGAATATGCGTAACATAAATGCGTCCTGTAGACAAATTGGTCGAAAAAGAAGCTATGATGACCTTGGTGAGGTTCACATGCGTATTTCGAGATTTGCTGTCCGTTTTTTAAACTAAACCTGTTTCTTACAAATAATACTCAGTTTAAAAAAGTGGAAATACTCAGATAAAAAGTGTAGTAAAGCCCGTTGAAGGGAATAGTTTGGGAGAGGGCGAGAAGCTATTTAGTTGGGACAATTACACCTAAATAAGTCCGTCTGCATAATGCCATTTCATTATCGGGACCAATGCTTAAAAACAATTCAAATATGAAAGGCAACCAGGCTAGATGTGAAGTTGGCCATGACTTATGATTTTTTCCTTCCAGTCACAACTCTTTCGGGACAAGGTTTGGTTACTTATTAAAGATGGTTGCATCAGATACTATGCGAGTTTTTTCGGCTGGCCCTAGTTTGCAACGATGCGATTCGATACAGCTATCCTCTAAAATTTACAGACATGAGGCAACTATCGTCCGGTCGGCGTTCCCGACCTTATTGCAGGGGACAGTCGGACCCAACATCCTTTTCAGGTCCGGCTTAACTACTTCTGTCGCGCGTTTACCCAGGAACCAGTTTGTGAGATAATCAGCCTGCGTCGGATTCTTTTATACAACTTGGACCACGGCTTGATTGCCTCAAAGAGCTGGAAAAAAAAACTGCCGGCAACCCAACTCCATAGAGGTTGTTCGGGCGACTTTCGAATATTCGGTCTGGGCATTTCGAAGTCATGACAGATCCGTGATAGAAGAGCCCAAAAACTATCATTGATGGACAAAAGGCGACTGCTGTCGAGGACTGTCATTGGGGTGGCCTAAGAATCACCTACTGTACCTAAACGCCCGACCATAGAAAAATCCAACACACAGGCCCTGGTTCCAACAAGAAACCGGCTTCCTGGTTGTTCACCAGCCCAGCTGTTAAAAACGGCACCTCGTTGATTTCGCCATAAAATTCTGCCTCGACTTTGCCGAGGACAATTTTAAAAACTTCGCCCAAACAACCAGCAAAGAGACCCCTCCCTCCAGTCGCAGAGCATAGTGGTAAAAATGCGAGAGCTGAACCCTAAATTCAGGCGCAAACAATAGGTATGAAAAGCTACAGCTGCAGTTTTTTAATCGAAAATAAACTGTCATCACGATAAAACTAGCTAAAGGCATATCGTAACGCCTGTCAGGTATATTGAGTTTTGCCTCGGTAGGATTCACCACGTGACAAGATTGCGTGACTAGTTCTTGCATCATGCTAACGCGCCTACACGAAGTGAAAAATTATGATGCATTTCTGGGGCTATTCGACTTCATCGAATACGCGCCATATTTGTCTGACCCTCCATCATCTGTGCGGAAAACGAGTTTGGGTGCGTAAATTGCTTCTACGAAATTTACAAGCCGACCTTATTAAGTTCGGAAAACGCGATTTTGATGGTTATTTTGATGTCTGGGTGGAAACCATGTGGGAGTGGAATAAGAAGACAACGATCTAAGAGAAACGTTTTGGTTTTTTCTGGTTATTTGAACACGAGTAATCATATCGTTTCCAAACTACCCCCATTCTGGCCAGTACTACTGACAGAATAAGGTTAGGTCAGGAGGACCCGAGGTTGAAGCTGGAGTCCAGTTTAGCACTGAGAGTGGAAATTGCGTCCACGGACGTACTATGATTGAAAGACGGCATATGAGTAGTCCGTTTTGCCGTGAAGATCTGGTTTAGAGACCTGGCAGGCAGTTGCATAACAAAGAACCTACAATTGCCATGCATTCATGACAAAGACCGTGATGGTTCTGTTTGCCTTTTTTGTCGTCGTCCATAAACCGCTGGAGGATGAAAGAGAAGAACATGTGGCACCTCATTTTTAAACCGTGTTACGGCTTTGTCTAGTGAAATCCGGCACCAGACGCTAGGCAGGTTAATAATTCTGGCCATGCTCTGAAACTCCTTGACGAAGTTCTCACTCTTTCTTGCTGTCTAAGAGAATGATTGAATGCCCGTAACAAGTAAGGGAGAGGGGAGGGGAGAGGAGGGGGGAGGAAGTGCACAGGAGATCTAACATGCGGCCCGTACACGCTGACGGTAGAATTCGCCGGCCCCGGTTAGTTGGTGGACAGGACATGTTCACACAGTTCACGATCATATGCCCGTGTCCAGGCGTCTCCTGAGCGACAGGCAAACAGAAATGAAAGGCCTTTTGGCAAAAATTGGGAAGCCGAAATTACTGCCTCGATTTACCTCCAGTACATGTACTATCCCACAAAATGTTAACCAAAGTCCTGAAATATTGTCTTCGATTAGAAATGATTACTTAAATAGGGTAGTAAGACTCACTATCGCACAGCATAATCGCAAAATACTTCGGTCGCGTCAGGTTGCTGGTTTTTGAACGACCTTTCCGGCCGCCTGCAAAAACTACACTCTTTAAACAGTGACCACTTAAACAGTAAGCAATTTTCCCATAGATTTTCGATGCCCTTATAAATAAATATATGTCCTACAGGAAACATGCGCAAAAACATCCTTTCTTGTGCTTATTTGGGAGGAAATCACTTCTTGGAAACGATAGGGTACTAACGTGAGCTAGCCTGTGGACCTTGTCATAGGTTGAATGGTGGTAGAGGGGATTTTACGGGTGGAGAAACACACAGGACGGAGAGCAAGAAGACAGAGAAAATAGATAGGCTCCTGCCGAAAGTCCTGTCGTACGTTGTCGTTTGGCAAAGAAGGTGAGCGCGATAATTAAACAAATAAACAAAATGCGATCTTCAAAAATAACGTACTTTTAATAAAGCGCTGCTAATAAGTTTACATCTAGCCAGGAAGGGAAGGAAATTCCAAACAACGGGAACGGTGAATAATAATGGATGTTTACAGCCACATTAAATTGTAGGGTATACCTCTGTAGTTGCCACCTACTTGTGAGTCCTACACCCCATCGTAACCTACGTCTACTTCAAATGTTACGCTTAAAGAAAGGGCACTCTTTACTGTTAAGAAAGTCTTTAATTATGAAATTTTTTAAGACGGTGAAGTGCCTACCCATAAAGCATCGTATCTGTCCATTTATTAACGGTGGCTGTAAAGTATACAACATAATCCATATTCACTGCAAAATTTCAGGAGCCCTACATGACAATGATGTTACTTACAGGGAAGATATGCAGCTTGTGGTTTCAGAAGCCTGCATACGAGTGTTGCAGCAGGTCAGGTTCAAATGTTGTTGGCGATTGAGAAGGTTTTTAAAACCGAAAGATACTCTTTCTTCAAGTATAAAATTCTAGGAGGACGTGATGTTCCATCAAGTAAGCACACGAAATGACATTTTTGCGCGTACTTCCTACTGTATATATTTGGATTTGTAAGGGCACCGAAGATTAATGGGAATAATTCATACTACTTGAGTTGTCATTTTTTACAGAGTATGGTTTTTTAGGAGATCGGAAGGAAGCTTGTTCAAAAAGCGGCGTCGTCATGTGACTGAAATAACTTGCGATTATACTGCGCGATAGTTAGTCCTACTTAAGCAACCTTTTCTGGTCGAAGACAAAATCTCATGAGTCGGTACAGCGCACCTTACTAGCGGAATAGAAAGCTTCCTAAACACGCTACTGATCCCCTCGTCTCAAAAAAAACTTGACATCCGATGAGTCGTGAGTCCATGCATCAACGACAGCCATTGTAAACATGTGCACTAATCGTAGCGGTACTTCTGATTCCGCGAATTCCTGTGATATAATTCCGTTTAGGAAATCGGACACCCAGTCTCCAAGACGTTAAATGAGTATACAGCTACTTGGGGTTGGTAGATAAGCTAAAAGTGTCACTACACTTTTCCCTGGTCCTGTCAGTAACGTACATATACATTCAGCATTAAAAAATATTTTCTGACAATTTCAATGCCTACCGTGGCCAGATGAGCGGCCGCAGAGAATTTTGCCTTTGGTGCATCGACAACCCGCGACAGTAACTTCCTGGCGTTGTCCGCGGTTAATAGTGACCTCGAAGGTCTGCAAAACAACAGCCTCGCCTAAAAGGTGAAAAGAGTAGAAAAGAAGGGATCACTCGATTTTGATCAATATATCCTCGGCTTCCACCCTCTGCCTCAGTGACTTTTTGACCCCACAAATCGTTGTTCTATGTTATTCATTGCGGAACGTTAGAATGCGCCGTCCCCTTAGATGCTTAGGTCTCTCTACATCCTTCATACCCACGCCCCTCGGGACGCTCTCGTTAATCCTCGCACATTATGCACACAGGCCATCTTCACCGGCGTGTCATTTCAGAGACCCTCAGTTCAGAGAAAATCTGGGTCTCGATTGGCTCTGTATCTCTCTCGCGTAAGAGATACATCGGACATCACGGTTTGTGGGTTCGTGTAAGCGTCTCAAGGTGATTCTGTGCCTGGTCTCCGTTGTCAGTTGATGTTTAGGGTTAAGGCGCGGAAGTTGGATATGTTAAAAACAAAGTTCAGAAGCACCCATAATTAGGAGATCAGTGAAGCCCGTTTCGAATTCCCAGTGGGACATGGCAACAGGTGTCCCCCGGTGGTCATGCGCTAAATTCCAGGAGGGGGGGGGGTGGGGGTGGGAACCTGAAACAGATGCCTCCCCCCTCCACTGGGTCGTAGCATAAGACCACCTGTAGTACAGGGTACCTAACCCCATGTACTAGGGAATGCTCAATTCTCTGTGATAAATTCGACAGAGGGGTGTCTTCATAAGCCCGGAATAACGCAGCAGGGGAATGGATACTTGTGGGAATTCGTTACAAACATGTTGCACTCCGACCGCCTGCTTAAAATTCCCAATAAGACGTGTAGCAGCCGCTCCAGTCCCCCTTTTCTCCGGCTCCGTTTTGTCGGTCGATGGCCGCGACAATCGTTGCCAGGCCGCTGACACACAACCACCCCCGCCGATTATAACTGCCCCCCCCCCTACTGTCCGGCTGTAGTGACCCCCGGTTGCCCCCACAAACTATTATCACCTCATGCGCGTCGGACGGCCTGGCTTGATACCCTGGAGCCCCTGTAATTATGCTTCTCCCTAATCTTCCCCTAATCCGTCCAATCTCATGACCTGCATTCAACCAGTCACCCGCACCTATTGACACAGACTTTCACTCCCGCGTAAACTACACACCGCGACTGACGCTCTCCGTGAACGGACGGTTATCTCTGTTGCAAGCAAACAGTCAACTTACGGCAACCTGCCCTGTGTACAGAATAAACTAGTCCTCCCAGCTCCCTGACTTCTGACATTAGACGAAACGAACTTATTGTGCGTGGTTTAAGTTGATCTCACATCCTTGACCGCCACAGACGCGTCGGTCGACTTTGATTGCAATTTTTGAATAGAACCCATCACTTCTATGTCCATGGCTGCCCAGGCAGTGCTTACGTTTTCGCGCACCAAGGCTTGCCATTGTTTACACTCGCCCCAATATGGTCCTGCGCATTTTTCCTGAGGCGAAAGAGCTTTTCTCTGGACGTACTTAGTAATGAGATAAATCAACAGCTCGAATGAAGGAAACGCTTGTGGAGGCATCACCAGCCCAAAAGCAGGTATCAATAAACAAACACCAAGGGGAACTGATGCGGCTGGAGAGCGTGCGTCTCGGACATCAGCAGTTCGAAAATATGCACCTGATGAGACCGGAAGAAGATTACGGTAGATTGAAAATAAATCCATCTGTAAGCCAGGTCTAACAACGTGGAAAAACGCTGTTGCACAACTAAAAACAACTTACCAATCACCTCCTCAGCGTACATCGGCGGCAATCTCTCACACACCAAAGAGCGGACATCTTCAGCCAGGCGGTAAATGATGTTGTGGCTGTGCACTAAAAGTGAATTTTGGTCTAAAATCCTTGCAGCCTCCGGAAGGACGTCCACATTGAAGGTAAATATGGTCGCTGAAAGGACAAGTAAGGCATAATGAAAGAGTAGTGAAGTGGGTTATCGCGCAATTTTTGTGTCCCCACTGAAAAGCTGAGTGAATACCTCGGAGGGAAAGGCTATTTCAGCCACGCATGTCCTTACCAAGTAAATGACCGCACAGATTAGCAATTTTCCGTCTTAAGCACCGGGGTCAAGCTAAGGCAGCGCCGCTAGTATTATTGGCAAATATTTTTGGGAGCGGTGCAACAACCCCGACATGATGGCTTCGGCCTTTAGGACGATTATCAAATTAGCAACCACCAGATACACAGCCAAACGGATTTTACGTATTAACTGCGACATCGACGCTGTAAAAACGAACTACAAACATTGTTAGTGGTGGTTGTGGCAGCGGTAGCAGTAGTAGTAGCAGTAGTAGTAGTAGTAGTGGTGGCGGTAGTAGTAGTAGTAGTAGTAGCAGTAGTAGTGGTAGTAGTAGTAGTAGTAGTGGTGGCGGTAGTAGTAGTAGTAGTAGTAGTAGTAGTAGTAGTAGTAGTAGTAGTAGTAGCAGCAGCAGCAGCAGCAGCAGCAGCAGCAGCAGCAGCAGCAGTAGTAGTAGTAGTAGTAGTAGTAGTAGTAGTAGTAGTAGTAGTAGTAGTAGTAGTAGTAGTAGTAGTAGTAGTAGTAGTAGTAGTAGTAGTAGTAGTAGTAGTAGTAGTAGTAGTAGTAGTAGTAGTAGTAGTAGTAGTAGTAGTAGTAGTAGTAGTCACAGACAGGTCATCTTCGAGTCTGAGGGCACCAAGTCCGACACTCAGCGAGTTGGGACCTTGAAGGCCAGAAATTTTTCGGACATCCATCAAGAACAGGCGCAAACGAATAAAATCAAAAGGAGCTGACATAAGAGCGCGGAATTTCGTAGGTTGACAGAGGACGCTAAGTACAAATCGTTCGCGGAAAAGAAAAAAGTGCAAAATAGGCCACATGCAGAGGAAAGTAGGTAAGAATAGCAGATAGTAAAAGGGGTACCTTTCAATGTCACTGCCAATTCTGCCTCGGCAGGAGTCAAGGGTCCAACGCCGGAGACAGCCACTTGCAGACGACATTGATCAGCGGGGCACGTATCCAACATGTCCGTGATGGCCTCCAGACTGCCTTCCACGTCAGTCTTTATGATCAGTGGCAAGTAGACCCTGGCATCTCTATTGTCGTCAGGGAGGGAGGAGTCGGCTCTGGCCTTCTGTAGGTAAGAAATTAAACCAGGTTTAAGTAAGCACTGTCTGCGATTATTGGTGTCATTACCTTCGCTCCACCCAATAAACACGCTCTGAAATATCCCACCCGTAGGCGTGAGTTGGTCTCGATCTGACTAAGCGGCTACTTAGAAAGGTCACAAGCCATAGTGAAACTACGACGGCCAGTTAATAAGGCTGGGAGTTGAGGAGACTCCAAGACCTGTCGGTCGAAACGGCCTAATCAATGCTGAGGAGTAAGCACTATGAAACGAAGAATCCCCTTGGACGCGCCCATTTCCTCCAACTTCCGAGGTTCTACCTCAGAACGCTTTTCTGCGTTTGAAGGAACGATTTGCGAACGGATGAAAGGAACACAAGATCGAATCGGTCTTGCAACGATTGGAGACACTAGACTTCCAACATCACAGACCAAAATTATGCACTCAGTGTGCGGTGTATATCTCCGTAATCATCAAACGGAATCGCACGTTGACGTTCAGGGAACATCGTAACGTCGTCCTTACGGATGTACGATGGAGGAGGATGACGGGGGGAGGGGAAGAAAACAATCAGATAACTTTCCTTGATACCGCTGTCTGTAGCAACCCGAAAACCAATTCGCTCAGTAAAGCGACCCATGTGATGAAAGTACTGTGCTTTACCAGCAACTACCAAATCATCCACAAGCGCAGATTAGTAAGCACAATCTATCGGCGCGTTACGACACGCTGTAGTGAGGCGGAAGACGAGGTTGCCAAATTATAATACCTGGAAGGGGCAAGTGGTTACTTTCGCAGCTTCGTCAATCGGTGCGTGCAAAAGACGAGGCGACAGACCAAACCACGCCATACTAAAATTGTGCTGAGCGCTCCGGTACGAAGAGAATGTCTCAAGTCGCCAACGGTCACCTCACACCACTCAGAGTTTGGGTTGCACACAGGCTCGAGGCAAACGACGTGCATCAAGTGATGATGTCAAAAGACCCGTTACCCGTTACAAGGGGATTTACTGAATCTGATACAGTAGCGGGCAAAGCAACTACGTCACAGGAACAGGAAGCTTACTCTGGACACGGATGGACGAATGCGTGTCGACAAGGAGGCGCAATGACACCAGCTCTCAATTCACGGCCTGTTCAACATTCAGTTTTGACTATACCAATAGTCTCGTGAGAAGTGACGAACGCGTGCGTCTTTAGCTGCTCGGGTGATGGTCCTCCGACCTGAAATCAATTGGCAAGCAGAAGGACCTCCCTTTACCCATGTAGTGTTGATTTTGCCTGGACACAGTAAACAGTGAGGAGGGGCGCGTGAATATACGATGCCTATTGTGGCAATGCTAGTGAGATAAATGGCCAAGTAATTACAACCTCAATCGCCAGCACCGCAATTAAATTGTGGCAGCTAGCGGGTTGGATGCAGGCAATTAAACCATTATTGCAACAAATACAAACACCAGCGAAGAACATGCGGACTGCTAATTTAAGTAACCGTGACCGCGTAGCAACCGTGTTCTGAAAAAACAGCATCTTTGTGCGTCCACAACCTCATATCTGCTGTTTTCTATGATCATGGGATCCAGAGTAAGTCCAAAAGGTGAAATAGAGAAAGTACTTGTGGTAGACGTGCGCTCACCGATCGTTCCTATGGACTTACTCGTCCCGTTGTGCCTTACTGGCTCTCTCTCGAGCTCATTGTACATTCCCGATCGAAACCGACAGGACAACGAGCCCGTGGTTTGAGGCGGTGGATTTCTAACTAGCAGGTCGTGAGATCAAGCCCCAGGTGTTCCGCACTTTAGGTTTGGTTATGACTGGCTGACGACGGCTAATAAGTCAGAAATATCCATTCCAGTCTCCCTTATCCTTATCGGTAATAACATCCTGAAGGTGCTTATATCAGCTAATGAGTTGCCAGGTTTCGTCTGCCGCCAGCCGGCGCGACTGAAAAACATTAAACTGGTGCGCCACTAGGCCGACTCATGCAGCCCTTGTCTGATAGGCAAGGTTTCAACCGAGTTTTTGCACGACCGGGGAGCTATGGCTTCTGCTCCGCCAAGACCTAATGCTGCTAAAAGGAGCAAGTTCCCATACATGAACAATATAAACGTAAACTGAAACATTGTTTAGAGCAATGATGGTATCCTGTCTACCAACAGCAACAATCCCACCATAAAGCGGCACAATAAAGCGACCAATGAAGTGGGCTTCTTAGCCTGTCCGTAGCGAGGGCAGAAGACACGGAATTAGCATAAGGAGGGAGGGAGGGAGGGGGAAGAGAATTATGATGGGGATGCGTTCTGTTACGAACGCCAGATCACCGCCACTAACTGCAGACGTGAGCAAAAGGTAGGTAGCACATAAATTATATGGAGGATAAGGACAGCAATAAACGCACCCGAAATGCGGAAGCAAATTGCCGCGCACTTGACGGACCCATGGTCAGACGTTTTTTCAGGTAGGTCTCGTATTGGAGTCGATGGCTGGCCATTTTTTCATCATAAGCTTTTTTGTCGAGTTCCGACTTCTTCTGGAGCCTCTGTTGACAGCGACTCCGGACAACTGCGCCCGCCTCCGCCTGAATAGCATGCAAGATACGGCATGACAGGTGGGACATATTAGAATGCCTTTGGGTCAGTAAAGATACTTTCCATTGCAAATAGGCAAAAAAACGTCCTTTATCACTGATTCTCAACAGTCAGTCGCCATTGAGCCCGGCCGATTTGGATTTATGTGGGATCACCTCTAGTGTAGTACTGAGGGTGATCCTTGGCCCATTGCAACTCAGATAAAGCAGCCGAGTGCAGCACCAAAGTCAGATTTGCCTGTGTAGGGGACAACAGCAATGGCCATCAGTGATAACGCGACATGCATGTTTACCTCGGAGCGCAGTTCGAGCAAAATGTCACCGACGTGAGGCAATGTCTTCCAGCCTGCGACAGTGGCCACATAGCCCGGCGAGACTGATTCCACCTGGGCACCCCGATCATTACGAATGACACGGGGCCGAGCGATGCTTTCGCCGGCTACCAGAGGGCCGCTTTCGGGCGCGCGGCGAAGTTTTCCTCGAGAAACCAGACAAGTGGCTACTTTCCTGTGGAAACAAGAGAAATGAAACAGTCAGCCCTGGAAGTCCGCGTTTTGAACAGCAAAATAGGAAAGGGCGACTAGCCGGAATCATTGGCAGTTGCAAATACACGCTTTTTATACGTCCCAGTCCTGATGTAGACTGATGAAGCGTATGCTAGAGGCTTCATTCTGTAAGATGCCTGGTATACATTTCCGTAACACGCCTTAAGGTTGGCAACAGTTCTGGAAACCCATCCGTTCAAATCATCTTCAAGTGGATAAGTAACGGCGTCTGTCGGGCAATGACACGAATACAACACAAGTACCCCTTAAATCAAGACTGGAATGACTTAACATCCTGATTGAAGTAACCAAGGCCTCCTAGGTAGTTAGTAATGTGTAATGTCTGACAGCATTGTTCCGCGGTCAGCGGCGCAAACATGCGTGTAATTCCAGTAAATAACAAATGGCCTCATTACAGCGTACGTCTTGACATTTCCCAAACAGATAAGCGACTGGACTATATCCAGCACTGGGCCATTCACTGCTGGCTTTTAAGGGAAGTTTGGCAACACAGCACGGCGTTAAAGTCGTACATGGACGACATTTAAAGCACGATGAGACAACCACTGCAAATGGAGGCCACTGAAAGAGATAAACGTAAGCACATATAGGAGTGCACACGTAAGTGGAAGTGAAGGACGTCACGACGCAAGAAAGGTATTACTAACGGCATCTAAAACGCGCTACTGTCCCCACAACGTCTGGTTCACTGAGCGTGCACCTACCTAACCCGTTTTGTGATGAACTCAGTATTTGATAGGATGACCAAAACAGCGTCGACTAGAACGCCAAGAAACGTAACAAGCACATGGCAAGGTCCGATCATCAGCATGGCCTAAAATTCTTCCGTCAATGCAATCATCCTCAAGGAAACTATGTAAAAGGTCTATAAACTCAAAATAAAAAGCGAGTGTTTAATAGATCCTCGCAAACCTATTCAGCGATACTTTTGGGAGCAAAGATGGGCATGACGCTTTCGGAGTTAAGTTTTAACATGTCGACGGAAGATTACGATTATGAAGTCTCATCGATAAAGACAAAGAACACTGGAATTCACATCACTGGGCGGCGTCAGCAAATAGGCCTAAAATGGCCATTTCCATCCCCTGTCTTAGTCGACAAAACATCGGTTATGGACTGCTCCTGACTGTGCGACCGTCGACGTAGGCACTAGACCCGAATATTCAAGGCAACCGAGGGAAGTCTGTGAACGTCCCTCCCATGTGACTTTGTAGATTATGAAAAAATGTAAACTCTGCTAAGGAGACAACCGCTGCGAATGTTGGCTACTAGATTAAGTAAACGTATGCACATATTGAAATGGATACGTGAGTGGAACAGAAGGAAGGGAAGACATACCCCAAGCCGTGTTCGGTATGACATTCGAGCACAAGAGCCTCCGCAGGTCCGGATGGGTCAGCGCAGATCTGCATGACCTCGGATTGGGCAACAATGGCCTCCAGGAGGGCAACCAGATTGGTGCGTTTTAGCGCTGAGATCTCAACGGCCTGCACGTCGCCGCCGAGACGCTCAACAACAACGCCATGCGCGGCAAGGCCCTCTATGGTGCGACTCTGTAAAGAGAAAAGGGACAATAAAGGGGCTGTGGCAGGAGAAGGTGAGATATAAACAAGATAGAGCGCGGAAAATTGTATAGGGGAATTGGCCTATTAAAACTGTCACTTTCTCCGCGACGGAGATGACCCAGAAGTAAGGAAACCTTAGGGAAAGGTGTCACACACCTACAGTCAGTTGTCACACCTCTTATAGATATAGTGAGATGTAAATGAGGGATAAGTTTTCGCCTCAAGTGTGTTATTAGGTGAACCGGTTCTAGAAATAACTCTGATTATTTTAGATGAAGTTCGATCTGGCCCTGTAAATGCGTAATAGACGTTTATCAAGCAAACGATATCGCGGTGTTTATTTGCGGCTGTCTAAGAATATGGCCTGTGCTTCATCCTGTCAACGCTACAACTGCTTCTTGTGGTCCCCGGACAGGAACACCAGGAACGAAAAGTTGGTGACCGGTCTGAAATACGCTGTTAAAGATACCGGCTTCAGGCGGTTTGTCCTGAAGAAGACTGCTCGCGCACGAGAACAGTCTATTTGGTGTTCTCATCTTTCGAACTCCTGCAGGAGTCCATTGCCAGAGCAAAATCAACAGTGGTTTGGCGCCGTTACGTAGACATGTTTGTTATCGCAAAGAAAAACATGCTACAACATTTCCACAACCTGCTCAACGCAGGCTTCCCTGATATACAATTTGCGAGGGAAGGACCGGAGAAGTAGTTGTCCTTCCTTGATGTGCTCATCAGACGAAATCTTGACGGTAAAGTTGAAACGACGGTTTGTAGGAAGACAATGAACGCCACACAGCTCCTCAGTTGTCACAGCAACCATCCGGTGGCTTACAAACGAGGCTGGCTAAAAACGCTCTTCAAACGGATCCAGACCCCTTGCAGCAAACCGGAGGAAAGAGCGCGTGAGGCCCGTTGTCTCAGCGACCAGTTTATGCAGAATGGCTATCCCAAGGCATTTACAAGTCGCTGTCTACGCGGTTGCCCCAGAGAGCCCAAACAACACCAAGGATATGGCATTCTCTATCATATATTAAGGGCGTTTCTGAAGCGAGTGAGCGCATTGCTGCGGAAGTAGGTGTTTGAATTGCACCAAGGTCATGAAAATTAAAGGACGATTAAATCCCCAGATGCAATCTGTGGTACCGCACCGCATCCCGTGCCAAAACTGTCCTTGTGGCTACACAGGCCAGACTGAACGCATGCTAGAATCGCGCATACACGAACATAAGTTCGCTGTGCGACGAGACGACGAATTATCACAAGTGGCTGCCTACACATGCAAAATGAGTTTAACTTCGTAGCCACCGAGACAATCGCCCACGCCAGAAACAAAACAGGCCGAGAATAGACTGAAGCCTGGGTCTCGGATGAGAACTCAGTCAATCGATTTATCGATATGGGGTTGGTGTACAGAGACCTGCCCAGTCACCTCCAGTGATGCGCCATTACCATAAAAAACAAGAACACCAAACTGTTCTACTGAGGGGCCTGTCTCGGCGAACGTGTTATTGGATTGAGGGTTTTTTAATGGTGGAATTAAACTGTAGCATTTTCTCAAATTCACTATTTATAGTGTTCGTGGGTACAAGTCGTTTCAACAGTCGGAGATGTGCTCGAAGGTTATATACAGGAGACAAATTTCTTTGGTGTTTGCCTGTGGGATGTGTTGGACGGGGGCTTCTGGCAACATCGACCACTGTAGACAATTTCGTCCCCGGTCGACCTCTCTCAGACTTGCCAGAGACTTGAGAGAGGGAAAAGGGGACCACTTTGTCTAAAATTCCGTTGTGCGCCTATTTTCCCTACCATGAACAATCGAATGCACTTGTAAACTGTGCTGATATGCTAACAGTCATGGCCTGGAAGGCTGTGAGCCAAAGATCAGACTCAGTCTTACGCTGCAGCGTTTCCTCCTTAATGTGGTCTTTATGATACTTGTTTATGCAAACCTGGCGACTACCTCACATCAAAGACTGGTTCGCTTAGACGCAGGGATCAGCACGTGTGTGGGGCTCGTGTGAACATGACTTCACTGCGCTCACGCTCTTCTCCAGTTGTCCTGACTCTGTCTCGTAGTTGAACATGGTTGTTGAGAGAACAGAGCTCCACATGTTCGCTTTACTATAAACAAATTCACCACCATGGAATCTTCTCCAGGACACCGATGTCCACTGTGGCTTGTGACGGACAATCCACAATCATTATTAGGATTATTATTCGCAGATGTTTTGGCAGATTTTGAATAATTCATATGGACCTAACTGTGAAAAACTCGGCGCCTCGGTGGGATTCGAACCCACACAAAACATCTATGAATTACGTAAGCCTGGCAGTCATCTGGTGGATTCTAGGTGAATTACTTAGGAAATCCTGCCTGGGCAGTCAACTGACTGTATCAGATTTGGTGGATTCCAAACGTTGCAGTAGGTTGGGCGGGTAACTTGACCCAAATGTGATTAAACTCGCGTCGTCCGGCGGAGCCTCGTAGCTCAAGTGGTTAGGGCGTTGGCTGTACTAAAGCCTTCCCCTTACTGCGTGGGTTCGAATCCCACCGAGGCGCCCAGTTTTTCACAGTTGGGTCAACATGGATTATTATTATCTTATCACCAGTAAGCTGGAGAACGTTCGATAAAGGACTTGAATCATGGGGAGATAAATGACTGACTGCACAAGCACTTGCCGTGCGAAATTTCAAAGCATCCCAACTCTGCACATCCAAAACGACTTTGTCGATTACTCTTGTTAAGTGGCTTCTGGACCAACCTAAATTAGTGGTACTCATTACGATCTTGGCAAGAGACAAAATAGTAAAGTCAACGAAGTTACCGAACGCATCAAAGTCAACATCATACTTACTGGATCCACTCCGTACTTGTCCATTTTGTTTATTGCGACCAAAATTTGAGCTGAAAAAGCACACAAGTTGTCATATTTACGACACTGAAGTTATCAGACAGGGGGAAATGTTTTGAAAGACGCAAATATGCAAAAAATGCAGAAATCCGAACTCTAAAAAGGCATGAATTAAAGACTATCTGAAAAGACTAGAAAGGGTTAAAAGGTAATACACAAGTTAAAAAAGCCCCGACTACATTAATATTGATTTCATAAAACGGCCTTCTGCATAGCCAATTATCAGTTATCAGATTATGGGAAATCGTTAAACACAGAAAGTTGAGGAATAACAGGCGGGGGACAGTTTCGATCGCCGACCTAAGTAGTTTTGCATGCGAGTGCCTGAATTCTCATTTATCGCGCCCCTATGTTTCTTGGTGTCGCGTAAGATGCCAGTCAATAATGACAACTGCTGAAACTACTGGCCATTCTCAGTTGTTTAAAGTCAAATACTTATCACTATTGACAGGGGTTCTCACACAAGACGCAAAACAATCAGGCTAACATTCCACAAGACACCGTGCCAGGACGATGTAGGTAATTATAATGGAAATGCAACAACTGGCCAGATACTGTTTAGGTGAATTACTTAAACGGTGAATTACCCAACGTAGAATCCGAAGTCCTCGTTCATTCACCCTACCGGGTCAAATGAAAATCCCGATCAGGCAGAAAGGCCTTCGCGATCAGCTTTGTGCTGGTAACAGGGTAGCATCGAGAGCCATGCTCATGGGCTCATCGGGGACATGACAAAGGTGTTCAATATGCGAGAAGGATCACGAGTAAAGAACAAGATCTGGGTCCGGAAAAAACGGCTTCTACTTACGTATTAGTGTAGGGCGCTCAAACTAGAACGGTGAAAAATTATAAAGACTGGAAACGCATATGTCCATCCTCCTATCCGAAGATGACAAGTACCCCGCCGTTAATGATGATACCGATAACAGGACCTACAAGTACATCAAAAGCCTCAGGTTGTGGGGGTCCCCGACTATATCAAAACGCCGCAATGACATATGGCATGTCAGTCGACGGGGAAAATCGATGGCGCGCATGCTCGAACCTATCTGAGTCCACAAGGTCTAGAAGCGGTGGGTGACTTTTCGACAAGAAGAAAGACTATCCGGCCGACTGGCTTTCCTTTAGACAAGTGCCTGAAACGCTAAGACGATCTGGTCAGCATGCGTGTAATGAGAGAGCGCGACAAGTGCACTAAAAGTTAATCACCGTTAGACTCTTTGGCAAAGCGTATGGACTCCACGGTCTGCGGCATGACACCGTCGTCGGCAGCAACAACGAGGAGGACAATGTCGGTGGCCGCGGCACCGCGGGCTCGCATTGCCGAAAAGGCCGCATGTCCAGGTGTATCAATGAAGGTAATAACACCGCCACCGTACTCCGCAAAAACGGGCGTTGATGGGGCTGAGAGGCAGTGAGGTGGAAGTGATGCGGCGGATGAGGGTCCCTGATTAGTTGCTGCGGCCGCGGCGGCCGCGGCGGCAGCAGCCTCGGCGACGGAGATCGAGAAGGCGGACAAGTGCTGGGTGATACCACCAAATTCCTCGTCAACCGTACGGCTGGCTCGAAGGGCGTCCAGAAGGGTTGTCTTGCCGTGATCCACATGACCCATGACCGCCACAACTGGCGGCCGAGGTACGCAGATACTGCGATCAGGGGGAGGCCTATATGACAGAAAAGTCCCTTACACAAAACCATTCGCAACTTCACGCCAACATTTCGTAAGGAACTTCGTCTTCACTCGTAGGAAGAAGCGTTTCAATTGAGTTATGAATCCCGAGTGCATCGTATGGCAGGTTTTGGATGTACATTTATGAATCTCGGGACGTTACTCTACAGCGATGTAAATTGATAAAATTTCACCAAAAACACATTGCTTGTAGTTTATAAAACTTGAAAACATGTAAGAACGCACGCTGTAGCACAACGATTGTAGTACCTTCAAGTAAAGTGATAAGACTGTAGGTTAAAAAGCTAGTTAAACGATGAAACCTTAAAAGACTCAAAATGACTTTTCTACTAATACAACTTAAAATTATATTCCGTACTTCTCATTCCTGCAATTTCACATGAACAGTTCTTGCCTCTTGGTGATTGACTACACTTTCCCATCGTCGAGGAATTGAAATGTTGCCGGTAAGACGGATTCGGTCGTTAGCCTGGTTGTTTGAGCTCCACAGCTGACAGTCAACCAAACAGCCCTCAACAAAAGTTAACTGAAATCAAAGCAGGTTGTCCGATCCGACGGTGTTACCACGGCGCAGAGGGCTGTGGTTTGGCGAGCGACTGCTCTAATGAAGTTCCGCAAAACCCGATGACGCGGCGACCGTGAACCGCCATCAAATATGATTACTTTTCATCCCTGTCTTGTAGGTAAGTTCCTGTGTCAAAACATTGCTGAGAGCCTGCCAATACAGTTTCCAAGAACCCTTTTGAAAACGTTCTATATTGATGTTACAATCGATGCTACGACGTTCGTTGAAACTGACGAGTTTCCAATTCTAGTTTAATGGTGCGGGCGAAGAGTATGCGAGTTGGGTTATTGAGCCAAGAAGAGAACATTGGCACTGGAGGCTGGAATCTCTTAATGTTTCCCTATCCTGGTACCATAAAATCTGACAGCCTGCGGTCGTTGTCAGTACAAGGCGGATGCCTGCCACCCATTTGACACCCGAAGCCCCAACGCGGACTCTCGTGAATTCAAGGCCCTGAATGTCAACTACCATTTTACCCTTTATCGTGGCGGCCCACACAACTTCTCCGGTCGGCACAGCGTGATAATCGTTCTTTCGAAACAGGACAACCGCGCAGTGCTTGTATGGGAACCAGTCAATACCGGCTAACTTACGTAAAACTGAGGGGGTGGGGGGCTCCGCTAGCATCTCCATCGTTTCTGTCTACGCGCCAACGCCAGTTACAAACTGGTGTGATAAGGAAGTCTTTACTCGAAGTTGCAGGAACTTGTTGCAAGACTTCCTCACTGCGATCTGCTAATTGTTCCCGGGGGGCAGGGGTGGCCCCTGTAAATGCTGAATGGGTATTCAAACAATAGTCGGGATGACTAAATTCCTGTCAGTTCAAGATTTCTTGTCTGAGTTCGTGATAGCAAATCGATGTGCGGTACCGAAACTGGCGATGCCCATTGGTAAGACCATGTTTTCGTTCGCACACGCCCGAAAGCTCACCTCCACTCTGCGCTAAAAAGTGTCTTGATATCGCTGCGGCCCGAATCGAAGGCGAAGATAAGCAAGTGGCTATTACTGAAGTTCTCAGCAGGCGGAGCAGTTGGGATAATTATCGGGCTCATTTAACGACACTGGGTTCGGCGCTCTGGTTAAATGAGGTGGTTTGACAGGCTTGGAGAGATAAGCTCGTTCCCATTGATTGAAGTTTGGCTATCCTTGTTCCTATCTTCAAGGGAGATGAAATAAGGAGCAAGAACTGTCGTGGCGAAGGCCTCATAGACGTTGTTGCAAAGATCTTCATTGTCGTCATCCTTCAGCGATTTAGGAGTATACGTGGCTCTAAGACGAGTCCCAAACAAGCCGGGTCCCGAGTTCGGCATGGGTGTAATCAGATGCTTGCACTGCAATACATTTACGAATTTCGTTATAGTTACTTGCGGCCGACAGCCGTGTGACTTTAAGATTCCTCCGCAGCGCTCGATTCAGTTCACCGTGAGTCCCTGTGTCGAATAATTGAGCTATATGACACATCCGCAAAACTTTCTGTTATTATCAGAGCCCGTTACTGTTCCCCAACTACGCAAGCTCCGGTCCCCAAAAAACCCCTCCCAGTCGTTCGACAGTCTAGCATTCTGTTACTAATCCTATTCCACTAATCCATGAACCGGATTCTCAGAAGGGTCCCGCATGGCGTCAACGATGTCAACTTTGCACCCGAGCACCAGCTGGCTACCTAAGTTGACTACTGCATTTTTAACTAGAAGACACCCCTCAGCATTAGTGGTTATAACCTTTAAAATGTGAACAATTACAAATAGCCTCGGGTGAAGTTGCACTGCTTGTGGCCGCCACTGTACCCCGCCTTATACCCAGTCATCCAACAGGCTCGGACAGTTCATTGGTGCATGAGAGAGAGGAGAGGGTGAGACTGATTCTGCAGGTCACTCTCTCATGGCAAACCAGCGCGTTCTGCACCACAGTACGTTTGACAGGGTCTAAACCTACCAAGACCCAACATCAGTCGTGGCTTAGAAGCTTGCCAACTAAGAGGAAAACTCCACCCTGCTCAGAACCGAGGGCCAGGCAACAGTGACTCCTTCTTAAAGGTGTCTTTGTGATACCCTCACTTGAATGAGATACGGGGCTTCCTGAATGAGGCTTGGTACGTGTGCAGTTGTGTGAAACGCGTAGACGGGCTGTCTGGCATTGTCAGTCACTGCGTCAGTGCTCACACACGACGGCCTTGGCTTTGTCTTGCCACCGCAACGCTATGCGCGTTGGAAGCGAGAATGAGGCGAATTTATTGCATGCTTTTCCATTACTGTGCATACAGTAGATGTGCAATCTCATGAAATGTTAACCGAAATTCCGAAATGTGTTTTCGAATAGAAAGGATTACTTAGGTGAAGTTGTGTACTATAGATGCAAGATATTTCACTCACGCTAGGATGTTGGCTTTTAAATGAGCTTCTTCCCGCACGCCTGCAGAGAATACATTTGGCAAGGAATTACTATTTGAGTAACACGAATTTTTTGCATTGATTCTTGATGCCCTTATAAACTCAAACATACTTCACACAAAAGGTCACAAAAATATTCTTTCCACTACTCATGTGGTAGAAATTACGTCTTCTTCAAATTTTATGCTTGAAGAAAGAGTTTCGTTCGGTTTTGAGAAACTTTCTTAGTTCTCGAATAAGGTTAAACCCGATCCGCCTTTACAATTGCATTCAGGGTTTCCAAACTACAAGCTGTATACTTCTTGTGTACGGGGAGTCACAT